CACGTTACTGCTGCGTGGCCCTACCACAGTAAAAACATTACTCAGTTAAAATAAAAAAAAACCCTGTTTACACGGGCGACGCGATAAAAAAGACCGTTTTTGTTTTGTTTTTAAATCACTTAAACATGGCACACCAAATAATTAGTATTCGCGGGTTATTCACCGTGGAGAAAAAGTAGTGAGCTTGAGCCGTTGGCCTTTGACACCGGTTACGCCATTACAGACTTTATGATGCCGTCTTAAAGTATTGATTGCAATGATCGGCACACAATTAGAGTGAGAATTACTACTGGGAAACTTCGTAAATTAAAAATACACCATCTCAAAAGTTAATTCGGCTCGATTTTGGCTGTAGCTAACTTAACAATACCGTCATATTTCGTTTGGTTGCATTGCATCGAGTTTACAAGAATCTAAAGTTGTCGGCGTATTAAGTTACCATTTATGCTGCATATAGCCGATGTAATCTGAATTGAAGGAAATGTAAAACAAAAACAAGTTATCATCATCACCATTTCAGTCTGAGTCCGGTGCTGAACATGGGCCTCCCCCACAGACTGCGACGAAGCACGATCCTGAGCCTATCGAATTCACAGGTCGTCACTCCATCTGGTGGGGCTCGTCCTACTCTGCGGTGGCCAGTATAAGGCTGCCACTCAGACCTTTCTTCCTCAACGGATATCATTTCTAGGACCTATATGGCCGACCCATCGCCACTTCAGCTTTATAATACTCTGAGCTATGTCAGTTGTATGTCGCCAATGACATTTCGTAATATCGCATCTCTTCAATAGCAAATACATGCATTCAATAAATACTTCATCATCGACAATTAGACTTAAAAAAAAAAGGCCCAAAGCAAGGAGCCGTAAAGCGAGTTGTCGAGAATGAGGTCAGATAACAGTAAGGGATTAGGAAACGGCGAGCCGGGCGAGACCGGCGGTGGCCACAAAAGTTTCGTGCTAAACTAGGACAAGGTTTTAAGACTAAACACTAACACGACAACGTGAACGTGGTACAATTTTAACCCCCAAACGATTTAACGACGCTGATTCATCGACACGCAATTTGTTTAGTATACTGAAAACTGTCACACACACACACACAACACGGCCCCGCGTCACGATACTCAAGGCACGCTGGTCGAGCTGGGCCTTGGCGGGCACTCCTGTCCAACATTCCCGTAATAGGGCACAAGTCGCGTGTCTCCGCCTGAACCCACCCCATACAACTGGCCGCGGATCGATACCGTGCTGTGGCTCGGAGCCGTACTAACGTTGCAAATACCGGCTGTGCCCACAAGGACGTTGACTGCGAACAGATGTTCCGTATTAAAGACGTATAAAATGGAACTACAACGCTGAGAACGGAGTTACAATAAGCTTTGTCCATCGATGTTACTTTTATCCGTATTTAATACTAGCTGCTGCCCGCGACTGCCTCTGTGTAGAATAGCCTGAAGGCGTAACATTCAGACAGAAAGGCAGATATACATAACAATATGTATATAAATTATAGCCTATGTATTATTCTGATGTATAAGCTATACTATTGTAAAGTTTTACTTAAATCCATTCAGTAATATTTACGTGAAAGAGTAACAAACATCCATCCATACATACAAACTTTCGCGTTTATAATATTATAATACAGTAAAGATTAAGCGGCTTAAACACTCATTAACACATATCAGCTCCGTTGCAATCGCTGTTATATTGAGCGAAATTTACGGATGGTTAAAAAAAAACTATTTTACGAATTTTGTCGCGTTTCTGTTTGATGTTCGAAACGTCTCGGGAATTAAGAATAAAATTAAACCGTGATAAAATCCGTAACAAATTTCACTTAACCATGTACAATATTCGAGAAGAAACAAGAAATTTACGTGGCTACGTACTTGAACATTCAATATAGTATACAAAATACAGTATCAAATTTACAAATACAACGCCCGTAAATTTATCGGACACCTCGATAAAAATAAAGGTTTTATTAGCCACAAGAATACATTTTATATATACCGCAGCTTGATTTTTTAAGTCATAATTTAAAAGTTTGGCAGGATTGTATTACAAAACAAGTTACTCGTAAGAACTTTGCAATCATGGACCTACAGTTTACGAATTTGGATATTATCGGTTTTTGATAATGGCTGATCTGAACATCTCTCATTCCGAATTTGAATTAATTTTATAATATACTATAAATTTTTCGGCTTCGTACGGGTGCATTGTATTATACATATAAAACTTCGTCTTGAATCACTCTATCTATTAAAGAAACCGCATCAAGATCCATTGTGTAGTTTTAAAGATCTAAGCATTCATAGGGATAGACAGACAGAGGGACGAGTTTGTTTTATACTATGTAGTGAAGTATTGCATGTCTTTCACATAGCATCTGTTCATTTGTCTACCCGTAGTCCGAACTTTCTTCGATATTATCAAATACCAGCTCAGGGTCTGTCCGCTTAACAACGCGTGATTCTATTAATTAAACGTACTTAAAAATAATACTTCAAAGACACGTGAAGCATTAAAGCGAACAAAAAGTAAGCCCACTCGAGCCTTGAGGGCAAACCAGCCGCAAGTTTGAATGGGCAAAAAGAGTATCGGGAAAAACAAAGGATCGCAGGAAAAGGTGGGAGAGATCGAATAAACAGGGCCGGTCGCTTCGAGTACTTTTCTATTATTCAAAGTTCTTATTTGTACGTGCAACATTGCTTATAGGAAAACAAAATAAAACAAAAAACATTTTTTTATTAGCGAAAAACAAAACCGACATCAAATATTTCGTTTATTTTATAACTGATTTAAAGGAGTTACCTAAGTATCTCCGGAGCCGAAGATCCAATACCAATTAAATTTTTGGGACCGCATGGGAGGAGCCAGCTTTGAAATAATAAAAAAGAATCATCAAAATCGGTTCACTCAATCGCAATTTCTGAGGTAACAAACATAAAACAATACAGTCCAATTGAGAACCTACTCCTTTTTTGAAGTCGGTTGATAACCGTTTATCCACTTCAACATAAAATTGTTAAAACTTTCGTGAGACATTATTAACGTAATAATAAGACGGCTGAACTCACGTAAGCCCGGTGTATGTACCGACTTTTTTTTTTTAACTGATGTTTGTGCTTTCAGTCCCGAGACTATTAAAGCCTCATCTGACGCAGAACCGGGGGCTAGCCAGAACCCACGGGTTTGGGCCCTCCGCTGTGGGTAGGGCCGCGCGTACCGACTAGTTTTGGACTCATCGGCGGTCCTTCAGCAGGATGAGTGAGATTGGTGCGAGACGGGGCGCGGCCGTGAAACTAGTCGGTACATACACCGGGTTTAAGTGAGTTCAGCCGTCTTATTATTACGTTACACAAAAAAACAATTACGTTTTCAACCATTTATTTCAATACGCAGTTTTTATGAAAGATCAACGGATCGAAAATTATTGCTACGCAAAAATATCTCACATGACAAAAAATACACCAGTAATTTTCAGAATTATTCATAATATTAATGACATTTATCTTCATGTCGACGATTACAGAGTTTTAAATTGCACAAGCTACACATCACTTCTGACACAAATCTTGAAACGAATGAACGACCACAGATTTTCTCGACACTTACTAATGAAAGTTATAAAATAATTTGTGTACATAATTTCAAGTACGTCCTTGTATGTGAACAATACAATAATATAATAAACACTATAAGGACATGCATATAAATTACAATATGATCATGTACAAAGAACTTTTAATGCTTTTATAACAACTGATGTGGCCAGGAATATTATATTTAAAGTAAAAAGTATATTAATACTAGCTTTCCGTCCGCAGCTTCGCTCGCGTTGAAGCCTTTAAATAATTATCTTTTTTTTTTAAAAAAAGTTAAATAAAAATAGCCTGCACTTTCTCAGGCTCTAGTCTATCTATACACCAAATTTCATTTAAATCGGTTCAGTAGGTTTGGCGTGAAAGCGAGACAGACAGACAGAGTTACTTTCGCATTTATAATATGGATAAGGCAAAACTGAGAGTGTGAAGTTAGGGTGACGGTTTCCGGCAAATCCAACTGCCCGGCATGGAGAGGATGAGGCCATAGACTAACTGTCAGTTATACTGAACCATCGGGAACTCAGGACCCTCACTTATGCTCAAGACAGCATTGCGGAAGGACCATTATCATGATTTTGCCACTTGATTTTTCACACCAATGTGGTTAAATTTTAGCTTTCTATATTCAACGTCTTTGTTCTAAAAGGCGTTTAGTTTTGCTTCCATTTGTTTATTTTCTTTTATTTGAAAACTTTGACAGCGAGCAGGCTGTTCACCTGATGTTAAGTGATTACCTCCGCCCATGGACGATGCAGATGCGTTGACAGGCCTTAAAATAAATGGACCCCGGTTAACTCACTCACCGGACGATACGCAAAAGTATTATACTTCCACTTCACGCCGGTCTTCTGTGAGGTCGTGGTACTTACCCGGACGAGCCAAAGCATTCGTGCCACAGCCAGAGGTGCTGCGTGGCCCTTGCACAGACTCAAACTAAAATACGAGCTACTTCACAATTAAAAACGCACAATATCTTAATGTCAAACAAATTATACCACCAAGGACGAGGGTAACAACCTGTTATCTGTTAGGATTTATTTGTACACGATACATTTACATCTACACGACTGTAGCGTATTTTTTAAATTATATTAATTTATTTAATATTCTCTGAATTTGATGTAATTTACAATTTCTATAAAAATGGTATGGTAATGGTTGATTATGTAAACATGTAGGGTTAAATAAGAACAGATATACCTTTATACCATGTCACAATTGAAAAACCAAAACAAAAATAATAAATACCTACACATTGTAAAAGACCGTAACCGTATCCATTACCTTACACAATTCAAAATAAAAAAAAAAACGTTCGAGAATATAAGCGCCTGCGCAGTAAATTCTCGAGGAAAGCTCGGGCAAAGAAAAGTTCACTGACCTCATGATCCCTGTAGAAGGGCTCCTGCAGGTTATCCGGTACCCTGTTGTTGAATGCCTTGGAAAGCAGCCATTTAATCGACGCCCGCTGCTTAGACTGAAACAATAGGACACGCGAGTTAATTAACGGATAGTTACGGTAGTACAGAAGGACTATTTGCTTTTTCGAGCCTAATGTACCATCAACCATTTGATTGAGTTTATCTATGCACAAATTGACAATTAAAAGTTAAATCTCGAGTGCAGAGACTAGCATAAAAACGTAAAAATTAAAAATCTTAAAAAATTTTAAGATCAATCGCGACATCTCTCGTTACAAATATTCACCGTTGATTATTTGTAAGGTGTTGTATGCTTTAAGCATGCACACTAGATGGCGCCAGGCATTGCTAAAATACAATAGAACGAACATAGATAGATGTCAAGATTTTCGCGCCTTGAGGTCATCGGCCGCGTAGCTTAGTTGGTAAAGCGTCTGGGCGCGAAACGTGGAGTGGCAGCTTCGAATCCCACAACGCCGAAATGTTCATTTATATACTAAATAATCACAATTTTAAAGTTTCATCTATGCATAAACTTCGATAAGCTCAAATCATCCTTAACCAGATATCCTTTACATATTGAGCGACAATCGAGGGTTTGCTTAGGATTAGCTTATATATCCAGCTTTTCTTAAGCAAACGTACACTTGCAAAGATTGCAGACGCTTAAGGGAGCTTTTGAAAAGCAGGTGCTCGTGCATTCAATGCGGGCAACGTACGAACGGTCGTATGACACGTGGTGGCGTCGTTGCAACATTAATTTTGCGCCTCGCTATATGGTAACGTCCGCATATTGTCCACGTATTTGTCCGCAATTGGAACTAAGCAACGAGCTAACACGTATCCTTATAAGACGCCAACAAACCGACATATTACTCGGTGGTCTAAGCCTGCATGCTCAGCTTCGTCGATAGAAAATATAATCATTACATAGACGCAACCTTTTATGTCAAAAGTAGGTCCACATCTGTGTAATAAATAGTTCACCTCATCGCTATAAACAGTACAGTAATCAAAATAGATATTTTTTTAGGTAAGATGATAATTATTTAGTCTTTATTATAGATATAAATTTTGAAAGAAATACTGAATGATATTAAAACAGCGTTTTAATATGCACAATAGTTATCTTACACAATTACGCATATTAATAAAGGCTGATTGACTATAATACATAATATTCGATTGGTCTAGCATGTTCATAGGGTGTATTCCGAAAGTGACAAAGGGTAGTTAAAAAAATCATTGCTGATTGGTCTAGTAGGATGTTCATATGGTGTATTTCGTAAGCAACAAGCGATAAAAAAATGCATTTCTAATAGATCACACAAAGCAAGGGATCGGTCAATATGTGATATACAACTATAAACAGTGAAATTGAGACCTTACATTTCCCACCCTCTTCTAATACAGTATATCATGAAGTCACAAATGCCTGATGAGTACACTGAAGCTAAGCAATCACAGTTGGGAACAATGCAAAGTTTAAGCAACCATTATGCACGCCGCGTTGCATTAGCAGCATAGTGGCCATATATATGACTCGTTTAAAGAGTTTACCAGATCACAAATACAGCGGCAGAACTATCACAGAGTACTCAAAAATCGACCGTTTGAAATGTAAACAGATATCACAGTCATTACATAGTATTTAATGTATTCGCATTGCGATTGTAGATTTTTAAGTAATTTACCACCTTTACACCTTGTCTGTAAGATGTAACTTTTAAGATAAATATGATATAAAAAAAAAATATTCTAAACAAAAAAATCTTGTGAGCCACTCGCAAGAATCTACAACTATTAAATATGAAGTTTAATTACTCAAATAATTTAAAGTCGAAGGATGTGACATATAAAATGCCCGATGGATAAATTTCATATTTATAAGTAATAAATTAACAAAACCATAAAAATATATTACGAGAAAATGGAAAATTACGGTACATATAATGCACAATGAACCATTATGAGTTTGTTGGACATGGGAACTTTAAAGCATCGTCTAAATTGAAATGATTCGGGAAAATTTACGACGCCATGAGTAAATTTATGCGGCAATAACAAGAAGCCAGAGCCAGTACATTTTAATTAGAGTTCGTGTATTTATAGACGGAGGCAACATTTTAAAAGGTTTCCCTATTATAAATAGTAATATACCTCTTTTTCGCTGAATAAATAAAAACAGTTTTGTTTATTACGACTGCAGTAATAGTTACCGTAATTCAAGCATTTCAATTAACTTAATATTATTATTTCAAAATAGTCACAATATTAAGTATTTTCTACCCTAAAAAAATACAATACAAAACAATAAAAAAATGTGTTATTTGTATAGACGTTACTTTTTGATTTATGTTTTCAGAAGGTATTTAAGTGAGAATTGAATAAACAGAATTGGTTACAGAGAATAGATACGTTTTTCGGGGGTAGGCATTAAAAAGACCGTGTGTGCTCTTGCGAAAACTTTGGCAAATAATTTATTCTAAAGTATTTTAACACATTTTGTACAGTAAAATCTTAACTTTAATAATCATACTTACATATCAGTTGTGGGCACCATTTCAAATGCCATAATAGTGTAACTATAAGCTATATCCACTGGTGACTTCTCAAAAGTGCAACTGTCAATCATACTACTAAAGTTTGATATACACTTTGATTACTATGTCCAACTTAGAACTTATAAAAGCTACACAGAAGAACATGGAAACCACCATCATGAAGAAAATGAACAAACTTGAAGCACAGCTTTCTGCTCCTAAAATTACAGAATCACTGAATCTGGCAGATGAGTTCTATGCATTTCGTAGTTATGTACAAGATATGTTTTCAATGCTACAGCTTCTCATCAATGAGGTGCAGATGGCGACAGATAGCATAGAGATGCGACACAGGAAAAAATATCTTCTTCTTGGTGGGGTCCCAGAAAAACCCAATGAAGATGTCCCTCATGTGATTCTATCCATCCTCAATAAGAATCTTGGCTTCAAGGATGTCACATCATCCTCACTGTTGTCAGCTCATAGACTGGGATCGGAATCTAAAGACCATACCCGTCCCATACTATTTAGATTCACTGATGTTGCTCTCCGTGGGCAGGTTTGGAAGAAGAAGACATCACTCAAGGGCACTCCTTATGTTATGTCTGAATTTTTTAACCAAGCTCAGGCAATCACTGTTCCTTGAGACTCGCAAACACTTTGGAATGAGGTCAGTTTGGACTGCTGATGGAAGTGTATATGTGAAGTTGAATAATGGGAGCCGTGCACGTATACAATCCAAAAAAGAACTAGAACACTTGGTTGCTGATCAAATCAAGGACCCACCGGCTCTTTCAAACACTGGCTCAGAACAGGAAACAAGTGCTCAGACGCCTGCGAAGACTGCTCATATTCGTCCGAAACGTTTACGCCGCTAGGATATAATTCTTCAGTTTGTCATTTTATTACTTTTGTTCGTTAGCATGTAGGTTATTGGTTGATATTATCGATTCATTTCATATGTAAGTCCCACAATGTTTTTCTTTGTCGGTTAAATGTACTCTTATTTTTTATTTATTTTATTTTCTTTTTTCGGCGGTTTTCAATGATTACGCTAATGAACACTTTTAATTTTTAATCTCTGTTACATTATTAATTTATATAAAACATAGTTAAAGAATATAGGTTAATATTTAAAGTGTTTATATTTAGTATTTACTTTATTAAATTGACGTTTGACATTTTGACGTCCATTGTCATAAACATACACTGGCGTTGCGTTCGGAAATTTTATGTTGATCACACCGCATCAATAATTAACATCATTGTTGGCTCTAAGGTATCGGTTAATTATTTTTTTATTTTTAATTTCTTTTTTTTAATTATAACAGCTATAGAATACCTACATGTTACATGACGATTTTTTTTTCATAGGAAAATTTATTTTTATTTTTACTTTGTTTTGTTAAATTGACCTTAGTTCATAAGTTTCTAGGTTAAGAGTATTTTGATTATACTTGATTATGTAAACAGTCAACCGGTGGATAGCTATGTAATATTAAGTAATTTTAATTGTATTATTATTGTATTGTCGAATTATTTATATTAGTTTATTTATTTTGTTTATATATTATGTCAAGTGATGGGTCCTATTTCACTGCTCTCGACTCAGACTCCTCTTTAGAATATTCTTGTGCTTCAGACAACTCTCTATCCTTAGGTTCAAGTCTTGCTGAAAAATTTTCTAATTACTCCAATAACTTCAATATTTGCCATATTAACGCCCAAAGTATTCCTCAACATTACTCCGATCTTATTGATTCGTTTAATTGTTCTTCTCTTCACGCAGTACTAGTATCTGAGAGCTGGCTTAAACCATCTTTACAATCCACCTCCTATGGTCTACCCGGCTTTGTACTCATAAGGAATGACCGCACTGGAAAAGGTGGCGGGGGCGTGGCGATCTATCTGCGTAGTGATATTCAGTTCAAAATCTGTCTGTTTCTCCATCTCCATATTCTTCTTCTCCTGAATACATCCTCCTCGAAATCAATTTCCGTGGCTCCAAAGCAGTTCTAGGCGTAGTATATTGTCCACCTTCTATCGACTATTTTAATCAACTTGAAGCTATTCTTTCCCCTGTGGCTTCGGAGTACAAGCATCACATTATCATGGGCGACTTTAATACTAACCTCTTAATTAAGAACTTTCGTACACAGAAGTTCCATACACTTATTACTTCTGTCAACTTTTCTATACTTCCCTTGGAACCTACTCATCATAACGTAGATACAGCTGATTCTTGGATTGATATTATTCTTATTTCTTCTCCCAACTATGTTGCGGAACATGGACAACTGTCCGCTCCAGGTTTCTCTCGTCATGACCTACTGTTTGTGTCGTATAAACTTAAGCCACCTAAAACAAAACCAATTGTTCTGTACAAGCGCATTTTTTCCAAACTCAATAACGATGAGCTATGCCGTGACGCTGCCTTGATTGACTGGACTGACACGCTAAACCATACTTCAATAGATGAAAAGCTTTCTGATCTAAATAGCTCTCTTCAGGCTTTGTATGACCTGCACGCACCATATAAACGTGTCATCATCAGGCGGCCCGCGGCTCCTTGGATTACTCCTGACGTCCGTGCAGCCATGGTTAAGCGTGATAGAGCCTTTCGAAATTTTAAGAAAAACCGGTGTGAGATTACTTGGTCAGCTTTTAAGGTTGCCAGAAATCGTTGTAACAGGATGGTAAGGGCTGCGAAACGACGACATATCCATGCTGGTGTTCTCCAGTCTTCATCGGCTAAAATATGGAAGTTTCTCAATTCTCTCGGCTTCGGAACTCAACCTTTGACGCAACCTCTCCATTTACCTATCAACGACCTTAATTCTTTCTTTACGTCTGTCCCTTCTCTCAGTAATGTTGTCAAGAGTTCCACAATTTCACTAATTAATTCCATGCCTGTTCCAGATATCGATCCTTTTGATTTGTCCCCTGTAACAACTATGGTAGTCCACAAAACTATACTTTCAATCAAATCGAATGCGACTGGGTACGACGACATCAGTCGAACGATGATTGTTCGTATTATGGATCAAATCCTTCCCATTTTAACCCACATTATTAACTTCTCTCTTACCTCTGGTGCTTTTCCTGATATTTGGCGTAAAGCTTTTGTAACACCAATTCCCAAAATTGCAACTCCCTCTTTACCTTCTCATTATAGACCCATTAGTATTCTTCCCTATCTATCCAAAATTATTGAAGCTATCGTCCATAAACAACTTTCTGATTTCGTCCACAAGAATAATATTTTAAACGAGTTTCAATCCGGCTTCCGGGCTGGTCATAGCACTACTACTGCACTGTTGAAAATTGTGGACGATGTCAGGAAAGGAATAGAGGATGCTAAATTTACAATCTTAGTTTTAATTGATTTTTCTAATGCTTTCAATACTGTCAATCACGATATCCTTCTTGCTGTCCTTAATCATTTCAGACTCTCTTCTTCAGCCCAGCAATGGTTTTTCTTCTTATCTACGCGGACGCCAGCAGGCCATCCGCTCTGATGGAAATATCTCCGATTGGGCAGACCTGACTGCTGGTGTCCCGCAAGGGGGCATCCTTTCTCCCTTACTTTTTAGTATTTTTATTGACCTCATCACTCTACGTCTGAAAAGCTCTTACCATCTTTATGCTGATGATTTGCAGCTATATGTTCAAGGGACTACTGACGAGCTCAACAAATCTATTGCAGCCATTAACGCTGACCTGGACCAGATTCGGGACTGGTCAAACAGGTTTGGCGTCGCTGTAAATCCATTTAAGTGTCAGGCAATCATTATTGGCAGTTCTCATCGGATAAATTCACTAGACCACAAACTTATTTCACCTGTTGTCTTTAATGGCACATGTATACCTTTCTCACTACAAGTTAAAAACTTAGGGCTAATTATTGACAACAGCTTATCGTGGACATCTCATGTTACAAATATTTGCTGTAAGGTGAATAATACACTAAGATGTCTGTTCCGCTATAAGTATTTTCTCCCCTCGTGCACTAAACTGTTACTGGTACAGACGTTGGTGCTGCCGATAATTGATTATGCTGATGTTTGTTACTCGGATGCAAATCAGGATCTTCTTAATAAGCTTGACTAACTCCTCAATAATTGTATAAGGTTCATATATGGACTTCGAAAATTTGACCACATTTCCCATTTTCGAAGTCAGCTAAATTGGTTGCAGATTCGCGAGCGTAGAAACAGTCACATTCTTCGTACCCTATTTTCTATCCTCTTTGATCCCATCGTTCCCAACTATCTGAAACAAAAATTTTCCTTCCAATCTGATGCTCACTCTCGCAACCTTCGCTCTGATCACAATCTCTCCCTTCATATTTCTCTTTATCGTTCCCGCCTTATGTCCAACTCCTTTCAAGGTCAAGCTGTACGGCTCTGGAACTCGCTACCCATCTCAATCAGAAATTGTCTGACTAAAGAGAGTTTTAAACGTGCTGTCTTTAAATTTTATTTAGATAATCGACAATGTTGAACACTGACTTGCTTGAATTTCCACTTCTTGACCTTATTCTAAAATATCTAATACTATATGGATATGTATATATTTGTGTATGTATATTTGTATATATATATATATATATATATATATATATATATATATATATATATATATACTAGTATATGTGTATATTTATGTAATATGTATGTAATATTTTATATATTATCATATTCTTTACTATCTCATCTGGCTCTTTCGCACCTCCTTATTCTCTCTGCTTATTTGTCGGTTGACTGGTAGAGAACACCTAATGGTGTTAAGTCCGCCATTGTACGTTATTGTGCATAAAGTTTTTAAATAATAAAAAATAAAGAATCGGAAGTCTAGCTTCCTAAAAATCGGCAATGGTATTGCGAATGCTCATAGGCGGCGGTATCACTGACTATCGTTTCATCATCATCGTCAATAATCATCATCATATTTTTAGCCTGCTTTAGTTCATTGGATCGCTTACCACCTTCTCTTAATAAAACAACGCAAACTAAAACCCACATTTGAAGGCATTGCCTTCTTTTGTACTCAGAAAATATGGGATTAAAGAAATGAACACAAGTGAGGTATTCAAAATTTTATTGTTTTAATAACATTACGTATCACAGATACATGGTCAATCCCATCTATAAATTGAGAATTTTCGAGGGCGATATAATATCATCGTGTTATACTACTTTCTCAATCACATCACACGTAGCACAAATCAAAGCCAATTAAATCCTCCACTTGATTGATTTACGTCGCATTCTGTGGCGTGCCAATTTATTCCATGCGAGTGTAAATTTGTCCTGAATTATGTTTATACCTATAGTGGTTATATATGAACGGTTAATTAAAATAGGAACGAAAAAAATTTGATAAAAAAATCACGGTCTTCATTACTGATGGTCGTGTCCGTCTTGTAAAACTTTGAGAGAATCGGTGACGAGCTGCTACCACTCTGACTTCGGCTTTCTTCAAGGCAGTGGAAATAGGAAGCCCGGTTATAAGATTTATTTTATCAGACCAACGGGTAGGTGGTCCTTTGGTATCCACTTTCCCAACTACAACCAGTTTTTAAAAATTATCTTGCTGCCTACGGTTGATGTAACCAAAATAATTTAGGATTCATTGATAGCAACTTGTGGAGACCCTAGTCTTATTGACCAACTATCAAGAATGGACTTGTTTGTGCATATATAGTAACTATGTTAAGTTAGTTTGAAATTTAACTTATTTGGGAGGTTTTTCTTAGCCACGTTCATATTTGAAAACACGAAAAAAGCGCGGAATACGTCCAATCTTCGACGTTGCTAACAGAAGAAAATAAAGTATGAAATACTGATGTTTCAAGAAATATTAATGTCCAATTAATGAAAACAATTTACGAACTGTTACAGCATATTGTTAAAATTTTTAAATTAATATAATAATAACAAACGTCGTGGTTTGTCACTCGTAACAATTAATATCGGAGGGGAGCGGCCCACACAAAGTACTAGGATGGCATAAACGGTCGATTAACGTAAACAGCCCTGTAATCGTGCCGTAGGGCCGAACGATGTAAGGTGAAAGGGCCGAAACCGCGCCGTCCGGTGCCATTGCTAAAAATAGCCCGTCGCGGAGACACACCAGAATAGGAAGCAAAAGCGACCCTTCTACATAAAAACTATCAAAGCGCGTCGAAAGTAAACATCGAACCGAAGTAACAATGAAAATAAGGAAAGATGTAGTAACATCTTAAGTAACAAATGTAAAAAAGGTAGCAAAAAGCATGATACTAAAACATTAAACAATTTTTTATACAAATTGAGGTGAAAATTAATTGAGAGTGTTAGTTTTTTAAATGTTTCTAATAGTAAACTATCAAATTCAACCCAAGCCTGCTTCTTGTGACAGCAAGTTTTGTTGATATGAAACTTTTATGTTCTATTTTTTTAATGATTATGTTTAAATCTATTAACTATGAATAAAACGCATTTTCAGATTTTTGTTGTAACATATTGCAAACGAAACTATCATGCTAGCACAAGAAGTTAAAGTGAACTAAATGACTACACTGTAAACGTGGGTTAGTACACCGAAGCGGTATGAATATGAACCTTGAACAATGTTCGCGATTGCCATGCTCACGAATTCTGCTCATCACGCCAATAGATTGACGATATTCCGAATTCTCTCCATTGCCGACTGGATTGAATGATATAATTTGAATCATTCAATGGAACTTCATACATATGCGAATATATGCTCACAACTACGTAAAGTGGATAAGAAAACTAATAAATACACAATGAACACAAGTGCCTACGCGTGTGCGAGTGAATCGTTTACAATGTTGATATATAAATTTTTCGCTCAGCCGTGCAAATGGCACGAGTAGTAAATATTATTACTGAAACAATGCAAATCTTCAATAAATCGGTCGGTAGCTCTAAACACGAGGCTAACAACAACACAGCAACACCTCTCACTTGAACAGTTCAGAAATATAAGTAGCACATACATGTATTATCGTCAATTCATTCAGAACTCACACGGAACCCATAAATACTCAAGAAAGATACGGAGAAAAAATGAAAGTTGCAATTACGCGTTCGGGGGCAGGGGAAAGAAGTCCAAAATTAATTAAACGTCTGCGTATGGCGCCGCCTGAAGCGCCCTGTTAGGTGCTTTCGTGCTGGATTTGTAGCACCGATGGCAAGTGGAGCGGGCAGGGCACTCTCTACACCGAATTCGTACTGCTTAATTGCCGAGCAATTAGCGAGGCGTTCGCCCGCGGCATTTCACTCTCTCCGGCAGTGTGATGGGCGGTCGGTGCCTGGAATACTAAACGCAGTCTGTTGAGGGCCCAACGGATGCCCAATGGGCTCTAAACTACTTGTAGTTAGCATAACATGCAGTCTTTGTAATTTAAGTCGCAATCGTTAGTTCGTTTGATGCACACTTATATGGTAGCAAAGTCGCGACGTTTAGCCGTTTTTGACAACGGCTTTACAATTATATGAAACCAATATTATCATTAGTAAATTGGTGTGAAAAAATATATGTGAGTCGATAGGCAGACCTTATCCTGGTGACTGTCTTCATCGACTAGCGACATAAAATTGCTCATGTTGACAATAAGTTTTATTATATGTTATGGACATTGAGTTTGAAGTAGAGAAAAAAAGCTCATATCTGTCTACATCGTTATATCAAAATCAAAATATATTTATTCAAATAGACGCTTGCGCGCTCTTATGAATCGTCAAATTTTACATCAAAGATTATGTGTATAGGTTCGTAAGGTACACCGGTTCGGAAAGCGGTTTCTGTTGAGAAGAGACCGGCAAGAAACTCAACAGTTGCTCTTTTTCAAAAATATAGTTAAAAGATAGTGAGCCTTTGATATAATGATCACATAATGCACCCGTTGATTTCATAATCTACATTTAGATTGGTAGATATCAATCTAAAAACAAAAGAATATTATTAAAGCTTTAATACAAACATCCCAACCAAAATTTTAAATATACATCTAGTTTTCTACATCTGCCAACGCAGAAAACTTTTTGTTTTCGAAAACAAAAAAACTGGCATACATATTAATCGTAACAAAAACCTTCTTCTGCCCTATTTCCATTCAACGGCTGATGATGATCAGTTTTTTTTTGCTCAAAAACTGACCATTATCGAATTATCGTTTTTGAATACGATGTAATATAATACTCCGGTGGAAACCGCGGTGACTCAGTTAAAGACTTTAACTGTTGCCTTGAATATTCTCACTTTATATCGGGAGAATACATGATGGCTACGGTTCGGTTTTCACGTCTATTTGTACGTGACGAAGGCAAAGTTGCTGTTAAGTTCGAGGGAACAAAAGTGCGGCAGTGCGCTGACCATTAGAACGGAGGGCAATGCACAGGTAACAAGATGCTATCTGGTATCCATTGTATTAAGTAAGTTGACTTCATAAATACGCGGCAACCAAGATGATTCAGATCAAGATAGATGGAGCCGTTGTTTCCGTATGAAGTTCGAAGGAAATAATTTCTGATTTAATTTCTGCATTTTATAGTTTATGTTTACGAACAAGTCGACAGACTTGAAGCTCCAATCGACTTTAAAATTTGATGGTAAACATATTTTAAAAAGGGATAAAATAGAGAATTACTCAAAATTGAGTACAACGTCCAAAACTAGCATGTGAATTTGGTTAACTGATCAAAATCAAAAATCAGTTCAATTAAGCGGGTAAACGATAAACAATGAGAATGGGGAAAGGAACCCATACAACTATTGCTGCGGAGCGAGAGGTCATCTTTCGGTCGAGTTGCGAAAGGTCGGCTTTCGCACGGCAGCGAACGTAAGCGATCGTGGGCGATTACTGGCGATTACAGGAGATTGCAGGCGATGGTAGCGCTTCGGGCGACCGATGAGAACCGCGGGGCGTCGTCACCTGCCCACGCCGCGAGGTCAGGCCCACGCCACCGCCCACTCTTCGATGCTCAGTTTGGCTTAAGCGCTACGAGCGTGCACATTTTCGACTGACATCAACGGGCTGGCCCTGTAGATATTCGCACCTTTCAGGTAGGTAGCGTTGTAAACCACCAAAGCTGTGAATCGGCGTTACGTCACGAAATATAACACGAAAGTTACACGAGCAGTAATAAAATAAGAGTCAAATAATGATTATATTTTTTCTCATTCTATATGCATTTCTAGAGCAGCTTATCGCTAACCATTCTTCGACTACGATTCGCTTTGTTTCTAAATGATTATACCTCCTTTGGTCCTTCTGTGGAACAACGCAAATAAAGATAAATGTCGCTCCGTTAACATTCTGATAGCCTATATGGTTTAACATAATATTGTACTTTATGTCTTTCATTATTCTTTTTTATCGTTGTTAGTTTTTAATAAATCTACATGAACCGTGATTAGTATTAAATCACAAATTCAATTGTATCATTTAAGACTACAAAAATATTGTGTAATGAACATAATGTTTTTCTAATGTGGATTTTTATATACGTATCTACAATATGTAATTTTTTTTTAATTTTTAAGAAAAAGAAGTAGTAATTATCAGTTACCTGGTAGCCGCAGCTTTGCTTAATTTGGGGGCAAGATAACGTTAGGTAAAAAATTATCCAGAAATATTTTAAAAAAATTGCACAGGCATGTCTTTCTTCTCGAATTTTAAACGATAAATTTTAAAGGGAAATAATCGAATGAATGATGAACGAAAATCTTAACTGCTGGCCTGCTCGCTCCGGCTTCATATTACTAGAAAAATCGAAATTAAATTTAATTTTCTGTACAAGCATTAAGGAAATAAAAATCCCCAATTTTTTTGTATAACGAAATCTTAACAATTTCCTGCAACCGTTAAATAGTTTTTTCAAGCATTTTTCAGAATCAATCTCCAATTTCTGAAATTTCTTAATAAACATTTTTTTAAATAAAATATGGAATAATGATATATTATTCAAGGTAAAGCAATTTTTCTTATAAAAAATGCTTTCAAAGGCAATAACAAATTTAACTTCGTTACGATATTAATGTAGTTAAAACCTAGACAAACCAAGGCATAAAATTTAGTTTCTACTCGACTAACTGTACCATCTAGAGCCTGTCGTAAATTACTGAACCGACTCTCTCGGCTATGGTTATTACGCGGAGATAATATAGAGGCGACTTGCTTTATAATCCTGTAATAGTAATTTACGATGTTTTTCCACCATCCTGACATTGTTTTAGGCCATTCTTAACATGAACTTCCATTTTTAACATGAATTACGTAAGGAAAAACTTTTTACAAGTTTTTATACGCAAACTCAAATTAAGTTAACGAGTCTAGACCTTCAACGAACTGTGTCTTGGCGTTTACTTATCTAATATACGATCATAACCAACCGTTGCCAACCGTTTTCCAGATTGTGTTATGATACAACTTTTTTTACAAAATATCTAGTGTAATAGTATCCTTAACGGTGAAAGAAAACATTGTGAGGAAACCTGCCTATCTGTGAAATAATAATGAAATAGTCATTTGTCTAGTCCACAAATCTACGTTTTGCCCTACAGTGGGATATAAATGAGCATGTATACAGCGTGTCGTTACCATCGCGACAATAAATGAACACACATATAGGGTATAACTAAGTCGTATTAAACATTTAAATTCTTTACACATAAATATTTACAGTTATTAAATTGTTCAAAACAAAGAAATTTAGAACACCCTTACCTATAAAAGCTTACCTATAAAACCTAAAGTTCATTTGTAAAGGTCACAAAGCATATGAATGGGTTGAATGAATTTAAAAGAGACAAAACATACTGTTAGAAGGAGAGGTTTGTAATACGACGCTGTGGCGCGAGTTTTATAGGGTATATGTTTATATGTTACAAATTTTGTTTCTTTTTTACTTAGTTTGTTTGAAAAATATTTTTTTTTAATTATGGATTTTGTTTAATGTTAATATCTTTTTATGATTATTGGCAAGTAACGTTAGACGTGTGTTCATTTATTGTCACGATGGTAACGACACGCTGTATATCATAGGCAACTTCATTAATTTTAAATGATATTTTCAAGTTTTTTTGAACAAATTGTTTTTCTATAGATTTTGAACTTATTAGTCTTGGTAATAAAAATAAGATACAGGCACAATCCAAATACAAATATTTAAATTAGTGACTAAATTTAAAATTTGTAGAAAAATGGATGTGTTCATTTATTGTCGCGATGGTAACGACACGCTGTATATTTCACATTACGTTACTGAAACCAGTGTGATACTGATCGCGAAAGCTTAGATTTTTTATTACATAAACATCATACTTAATAATTATTTACATGTTCGTATCAATATCATAAACTTTTACTATAATTGATACGAATCGCAGTACAATCTGTTTTCGCATCAGGTTGTTATGCGGTCGTTGGGTTAGTAGAGAATTTAATTTGGCTTTCGGAATATACCGCCGACATGGGCAACGTGAACAATTTGACCGGCAAAACTGCCGTGAAATCTGGCAAAACTATATATACATATAGTAAAAATGTCCAACCAAGAATATCAATATAAATTGAAAATTTCTTACAAATTTACAAATATTTTCTGTATTCGAATTGTCGTTTTTTCTTAACAGCACTTTTTTTTATAAAAGTTTCTGATTAAGTTATATTTTGATTCCATTTACGGGAAGTATTTCATTCTTATATTGTTTCAAATGTCCATAGGCGGCGGTTATCAATTAACATCGGGTGAAACGCTAGCTCGCTTTTTCACCTTCTCGCATAAAAAAAAACAAACTTCGTCAATAATATGCGGTCAAACTATACGGAATATTCAGATCGCCGCGACTATGTATCTTATCGGCTAAATTAATATATAGGTACCTATGTAAATCACAACATTTAATCATAATTGGTTGGTAATCTTCATCGACAATTTGCATAATTACAAACTCATCAATGTTACTAATGTATGAGAATGGATATAGCTAAGAATCCAACAAGCCAAAAGGCGTGAATACATATGTGAATACATAGACGCGATAGCTCAGTGCCCGGGCGCTCTCTTCTAATTCACTATACTCGTGGAACCAGAGTTCAAATCCCGGTGCCGCCACGAATGAAATTATTAATTGCAATTTTAAGTGCTGATTTATCACGTGCTTAGCGGCGAAGGAAACATTATGAGGAACACTCTTTTTTTTTAAATTAAAACAATAAAAATATCTCGAACTCTGCTAATAAATTCTTCTGATCTGTCGTGAGGTGGGGTTGGTTGTAGACTATTTTCTAACACCCTCTTTACAGAGAAAGCCTTTGCCCAGCAGTAGGACGTATACAGGCTGCTACTTTACTTTTTACTTATATATTGACCGACTGATCGAATGAAAACAACGAATCTAGTTACATGTATATGAATACCAGCGAACCTGACAGACGTCCTGTACACACGACTTAAAATCAACAACTTAGAAATAAAAACTATAGTAGAACGAATTGTGAATCTAAACCATTTCCGAATCGACCTGAAGACACACAAAATTTTTTATTAAAATCCGTCCAGCCGGTTTAGCAGTTCAGTGACATACACACGTAATGTATGATTATATATATAAAGATATGTTCACTTTCGCGGTCTGGACGCGAACTTCTCATTGCTTGGCAATAAAACAACGGCCGACACGCAACGCTACTTGGTCGGCTGCGTTCTAGCGTCTCTTTCGAGTTAATTAGGAAGATATGGGATTAACAACTTTTTAACTTAATTACGCGTGTCCGCCGACATCCACGCGTTGAAACAAAAAATATATCTCGCTACGAAAATCCTTATCTGTGTTTCAATCTAACTGCAACATGTTTTTCACTAACTTAGGTGATCGTCACTGAATGCGATGACAAACAAATTATTATAAACCTAGCGACATATTAGTTTTCGACGATTTAATAATGAAAAATGTTGCTTAATACAAATGCCCTAATACAAAGAATATTAGTGTATAGACCCTTATTGCGAATTCACGAACTACACATATCTTCGAAAAAAAAATTTTAATATGATTATTTCGAAAATATGCAGATTTCTTCATGGCGTTTCCTTCACCGCTTAGAACTTACCTATAAGTCAGCACTTTAAATAACAATTAACAATTTCATTGGTGCCGCACTGGGATTTGAACTTGGGTTCCTTGAGTGGATATATTGAATTAAAATCGGGCGCCCGGACACTGAGCTATCACAACTTTGTATTTGTTTAAAACGTTTATTTATACATACCTATAACAAAAGTGGGTAACGGCGGAGTCTTTGTTCATGTTTGTGATATTCCATAAGGTCGCGTGACATCCTCGTAAGAGAAAAAAAAACGCGAGTAAATAAAGGAACCGAGAAGTCATTAACTCTGTACCCAATATGGACGCGTTGAACCGAAGGTATGTACAGCTTCGCTCGCTCTTTGTCGCGGTTCAATGCATAATTTATTGCGTCCACCTAAAATGGCCACCAGCCGGCGCACTCGCGGCCGACCAGTATCGATTGGATCAGCAATAGACATCGGGCGGACGAGAGTTTTTATGAGAACGGAATGCAGGAAATCGTGCCATAAACAGTTTGCTGTAATTTAGGGTGACGGTGCGTCATAAACACATTCGTGATCGACGCTCGCCTAGAGGAAATCGCTCTTGTAAACCAATTGAACGTATTGTTATCCTTTGAAGTAATCCCCCGATGGCAGAGTCACGACTATAGAGAAGCGTCTCAGAGAATGCGGCTTGCGCGTGGCGGAACTAACGGCTGCGCAATTAACTCCACAAGGAAGTGGGAAGTGATTAGACGGCTGAATCATTCGGAGATCGCAATTATCGATCCACCTGAAAGAGCAGACTAGATCGGCAAGGAAGAGGGACTTAAATAGCTGGTCACCTCTGCTTTGTGATTAAGAATGGAGGTTCTGGGTCTGCTGCTATATGGGTTAAGAATGGAGGGTCACAGATTCAATCTTGAATAAGTTTATCGCTCTCAAGCT